GCTGCTGGTCCTGCGCCTGGCAGAGCGGGCCGCAGGTGGGGAAGCGCCCAGCCTCGAGGACTGGCTGTGTTGCGAATACCTGGCCGAGGCCACCGAGTCCTCTATGGGCCAGGCCCTGGCGCTGCTGTGGGACTGAACCCAACCCAGGGCGAACACACCTGGTCCAGGCCTGCCCAGGAGGCAGGGCTGGGGCTGAGGTCAGCGTCTCTATGATCGCCAAGACAACCTCTTCCTGCAGAGTCCAGGGACGCAGCAGAAAGAGCAGCGCCCCCCTCCAGAGTCTCCCCTCTCGTGCTGGCGATGTGGGTCAAGGGCTTCCCAGGAGTGCAGCTACCCCTGCAGAGCTGGGGGCTGGCCAGCGCCTCCTGTGTGGGCAGCAGCTCTCTGAAGCCAGGGCCCCCAGGCCACTTCCAGGTGTGGACACCCCCGCTGATCAGTGTCTCTCTGTGTTCCACCTTCCCCGGCAGCCAGGGCGCTTTTCTGCGGTGGGTCCTGTCATTGTCTCCCTGAGAGGCCAATGCCGGGACCAGAGCATTCCTGGCCCTGGAGCACCCCCTTGTGCTGAAGACGGCCAGCGATTTTGGGCATGTCCCTAGTGGAGAATTGCTTGGTGGTGACACAGGAAGGGAAGGCTCCCTGGGACCTTAGACACCCAGCTCATCTCAGAGGCGTCTGGACTCACCATCCCTAAAACAGTCCCCGCGGTTCCCTGCCACCTCCCCACAATCCCTCTGCACCCACCCTGCCTCCCTTCCTGTTCCTCCATGACACACTAACTTGTTTCCCACCCCCAAGCATCTGTGCAGGCTGTTCCCTCTGCCATACTGTTCCAGTTCCACTTGATCTAAACAAATAAAGGTGCCCCCTCTGGGCCCTCGCTAGCTCCTTACCCTTCGTTCTCCGCCCACTCCCAGGAGCATTTATTCCTCTGTTACTGTCCCCAAGGCTGTGAGTTCCCTGGGGGCAAAGGCCAGGCTTGGCACACGGTAGGCGCTCACTTAATACTGCAGGATGATGGAATAAACAGGCACAGAGGAGACTCACTGGAGGGGAATGCAGTCTTTATGCCTCTGACACACCACACTGCACTTGCCTGTGGCCTCCTTCCTGGAGACTCACAGTTGCCCTTCCATTCCATTCCCCATGGCAGTCCTGGGAGGATCTTTCCAACCCCAGATATGAGGTCCCTCTCCAGCTCAAACACCTCCCATGGCTCCCCAGTGCCTCAGAATACATACAGGTCTCTTCCAAAGTCTCCTCAGTCTCCAACCCCATGTCATTTATCCCTGGAGGTACTTTCCGGCCTCTACGCCTTTGCCCAAGTTGTTTTTTACGCCGGAAACAGCCCCCTCTACTCAGGTTCAGACTCCTATTCGTCCTGCAACGCCTCAGCTCTAACGCCCCTTCTCTGCACTTGCACTGCCCAAATGAGCTGGGAGTGTCTGTGTTCACATCTATCCTCCCAGCCGACCCCACCATGCTCAAACGGCTGAATATCCCCCTGCCCCCGCTCGCCAAGACTACAATCTCTTCCAGCGCCTTTCCTCCTCTTTCCAACCGGTTTCCCGGCCAGGCCTGGCCCTGACTTTCCGAGTGATGCTCCCGGATGCGGCCGGCAGGTGGCGCAGCGCCGCGCAAACGGCGGGGGTCGCAGACCCGGAAGCGCTCCAGGCCTTGACGCCGCCGGAAGTGCTCCTGCCCTGAACGGCGCTGCAGGTCCACGGGGGCGGCCAGTAACACGGTGACCCAAAGGAGTCGGGAACAGACATGCCCATGCGCAGGCCCAGGCTGGGGCGGAAGGGGACGCGAGGCAGGAAGGGGCTCCAAGCGAACAGGGTCAAGGCTGACGCCAAGCTCAGGCCCCAGACCTGCCAGCCCAGGGGGGTCTCCTCCGTGGGAGGGGTCCTGCAGCTGCCCTGGTGACAAGTCCCCCTGCGACCCCTCTACCCAGGGCCCTCTGTGGTCCCAGGCACTCCTCCCACCAGCCCCCGGCGTCACCACCACGGAGCCATGTGCATCGGGTGTAATCACTTTATTGGTTTTTGGAGAGCAATAGAGGGGATTAATACCTAATCTTTCCAAGTTAAAAGACTAAGACTGTTTCCAAAAGACTCCAAATAAGAAACTTCTCCTCAAAGTACAAGGATAATCTGAATCATCTTAAACCAGCAATAAAAAAGTAAAATATAAATTTTTATTTAGAATTAAAGCAAATACTTCAGTATCACAAACACAATATTAAACTTCAAGAAATATACGCTAATTTGGAGTGAGCATTTATTTGCACAATTACAACATGCGGACAAACCCAGGCGAGATGAGCGAGTCTACGGTTTCCACCCAACCGGCTGACAAGGGGTGGCCCCAGAGGCCGGATGCCCAGCGCCCAGGCGGCCCTACTCCTCCTCCTCTCCCGAAGACTCTCTCTCGAACGTGTAGGCCATGAAGCAAGCGTCGGGTCTCTTGGGGACAAGGGGATGCCCCGGTCTCACAATCTCAAAGCCCAAAAAGCTGAAGGTTCGGAGCAAGGCGGCTGTGGGGAGAGAAGCCGTCAGAAACCCCACCACCCAGGAGCCCCCACCCGCCCCCCGCACCCCCGCCGGGAGACCACGCCTGCGGGCTGAAAATGAAGGTGCATGGCAGCTGCCCCCACACACCCTGCTGCAGGCGATGCGGGTCACCTACCTCTGTCCTCGCGGTTCTTGTGGAAGCAAATGAAGACATGGTCGGCTCGCAGCTGCTCCTCAGCAAATTCCAGGAGAACTGCAAAGCTGCAGCGCGTGTCAATGTCTTGGCTAGCCCGACCCGCCCACCTACCTCCTGGGCCTTAGCAGCTACCCTGAAGCCCGCTCTACTCCAGGGTCCCCCGGGGGCCCAGATCGTTCTCTGGGTGGGGCCGTCCTGACACCGCAGTGGTGAGCAGTGGTGAGCAGCACCGCTGCACCCACCCACGTGCATGCCCCGGGACAGAAAGGCTGTCAGACACTGCCCGGCATCCCCTGGAGGGTGGAATCCCAGGGTACAAACTTGGAACGCGCTTTTTAAAAAGAGACCCCCGAACGGGCGCGGTGGCTCACGCCTGTAATCCCAGCACTTCGGGAGGCCGAGGTGGGCGGATCAAGGGGTCAGGAGTTTTGAGACCAGCCTGGCCAACACAGCGAAACCTCGTCTCTACTAAAAACACAAAAATTAGCTGAGCATGGGTGGCCGGCGCCTGTAATCCCAGCTACTCGGGACGTTGAGGCAGGAAAATCACTCGAACCCGGAAGGCAGAAGTTACAGTGAGCCCAGATCATGCCATTGCACTCCAGCCTGGGCGACAAGAGCAAGACTCCCTCTCAAAAAAAAAAAAAAAGGGGGGGGGCCCATCCCAACCCATACAGCGATGGTGGCCCCCATATTTGCTGCCTGAAGGCAGTGCCCTCCCTCATCTGTCCCTGCCCCCTGGGTAAGCAACCCCCACCCCGTCCCCGCCCTCACCTGTCCTTGCTCCCCTCAGGCAGCGCGCCGCCCGGGATCTCGATGTAGAGGCTGCCTCCACTCAGCACTGTTCGCCAGTTAATGCGTTTGGCGTCTGTGAGCCTGGACTGGACGTTGAGAATCCTCGTCTTGTCGTTGGACGTTAGTTCCTCTGTTACATTCAGCCGATCATCCTGTCCGGGGGACGGTGCAGCGTAATTCAGAACCCGGACTCACCCCACGGGCAAGAGACCGGCAGCGCTAAGGCTTGGACCTAAGCCGTGTTCAGCTCAAGCAAGGCCTGGGCTGCAGGAGACTGTGCGCCCTCTCTGATGAAACTCAGAAGGGTTCCCAGGATTAAATTCAATCACAGGTACCGGCAGCGAAGTGCACAACAAGTGCCAGCGGCCCCAGAGGAGCCCCAGCCCCGCCCACCCCAGCGCCGTACTCACGGAGTAGAATAAGTTAGCTGAAAGATTGTGATCCCTCTGACTATTCCCTCGCCCACCTGGGATCTTCAGGGGTGGGTGAGGGGCATCAGGAGCACCACCGAGGCCCCGGACCCGGGTTACTACAGCAGCGGAGGGAGACCCTGGAACTGAAGGCAGATGCGATCACCAGGCCGCGCCAGGTTCCCGGCGGAGACCCCTCCAGGGCGCCCGGACGGTCTTCG